GTATTTTTGATGAAATTAACCATTAAACGAGATTTTAAAGTTTTGCAGAGCAGACTACGCTATGCATCCGTATTTGAATTAGAAGCAAACATATCAACTAAATATAATTTAAAAAAAGCTTTTTCCGGTGTTCAAACGCGTGTAAACGACGGAACGCGTTTCGTGTAAAAGGCTAAAAAGACAAGTGTCAAACATCGATTGAACGCGTTGCTATTATCTCGTCGTTTACATGCGTTTGAATACCGTTTCAACAAAAGAAAACCTCATGGGAAAGTGATAATGTTGAAGCTATGTGTAGAAATACACTGAAACGATTGATGCTTTGGTGCAATCACTGAGAGGTCAAAAATCTTATTTCAACTTTGTACTCACCACCAAGTCTACTTCCACGCTGAAGTATTGTTAGGACTGTTGCAAAAAAATATATCACGCCCGCCAAGTTATCTGTACAGAAAAAAATGTTACGAAAAGTGACAAAATGAATACAATAATAATGCATCAATTCGCCTCATTGTAAATCTCAATAATGTATTTCTACACATAGTTTCAACGCTATCACTTTATGCTATCGATATTGGACGACTATTCATGCTGATTATGTTCGATTCGCCTTATCACTATTCAAATGATGTGACCGTGCAAAAAATGAATCTAAAACAATAAATATGTAAGCCGGTGATGAGTAACTTGATCCGTGGGATGGGTACGTTTAAAGAATGCTCAGGTACAGAAATTTTCCTAATGACATAACAACAAACAGCCAATCAGTTCGCGAAGAAAAAATTTACTAAAAGGCATTAGTTTTTAATCTTGAAGAACTTTTTTTACTGTTGTGAGTACTATAATAAAATTTCCCTTCTCAAGCTCTTTCCAGCAGAAAATTCTGAAAAATATAAACTAAAATAGAACATTTAGATACAACTCTCTTTACCGATAGAACAAATAATTCATACACTTTTTATTCGTAAGAGTTTCATTTTCAGCATCTAAACGTTTCGTCGTTTAACAAATGCACACTTCAATACAATTAAACGTTTTCAATGTAAAAATAAAACCATACGAATAGATAATACGTAATATAAGAATATAGAAAAAAGTTCGTTTTTAAAATTCGTGCCGAATAGATTTCACATCAAATTTTAGGAAAAATAAATAAATACTATCTCTTTGCTCCTGCTAGTTTTTACCAAATAAAAAACTAGCCAACACAGTCGCATAATTCTCAAAAAAAAAATTCATTCTATAAAGAAGAAGACATACGATTTTGAAAGGTTACTCAAACAACATAGAGCATACGGTTTTAGATTACAGATTAGATTTAACTTTGATTACTGGAAAGAAAACTATTAAATCTAATTTAATCTCTGTCTAAAATTTTCTTTTTTCATTTTAGTCAAATATTAATTAATGGCCACTGCCTTTTTTGCCGACAATCGATCTAAAAGTGAACATATATCAGAAGAAGAAGAAGAAGATGGTACAGATTTAGATGATAAAAAATTAGTTGAAAATTATCATTATTTACTTAATCATAAATTTTTCTGCATATCGAATGAAACATCAGCATCTTCAAACAATCCATTTACAAATGAAAAATCGTCAAAATTTTCTGAAACAACAAATACTCAAACAAAATCATATACCGATCAAATTTTAATTAAAGATATTCAAGAAATTCATTCGATTGTTCAAGAAACAAAACAGATTACTAATAATTCTAAAGGTAATAATCGACGTAAATTAGCAAAAACGGATTCAGTTCATAGTGGTCGCAGTTCGTCTTGTGATTTAAAACATTCTCAAGATGAGATATCTAATTCTTCAACGTCAGATGAGATTGATTTTACAACAATTAAAAATAATAATTTAACAAAACATAAATTTCGACATCTATGTTCACGATTAAAATCTCGTTTACATTTTCGTAATTCTCTAAACGAAGATGGTTATAAAACATTTACAACTCAGTGGGATTTTGATTGGCCAAATTTCGAACAACTGTATGAAAATGTCGCTCCGTGTCTTATCAATTCACTGCCGGGTCTTGATGATTTTATGTTAGAACAAAAACGACAACTGGAAAATCAACAATCAGCAGCTTCATCCGATACCGAAGATATAGAATCAAACGCTTTTCTAGATTGCAAACGAGGAGCAAAATTTAGACGAAATGCTATTTGTAGGAGATTAGATAAAACACAATATAATGAACAATTAGTAAAATTCATTCAACAATTAATGATCGAAAAACTCATAAGAACCTGGACCTAAAATTATTAGATGGAATTTCTTTTTACTTTCTTTTTATTTCACCAAATTAGTGACGTTTCGATCACAAGAAGATCTTTGTCAAGTATCTTAAGTGACACTATATGAAACAGAATACTGAAATCTTTTTTCATATTTATTGAATACTGTAGATAACGGAAGGAAAGATGCAAGACGAAGATACTGGAAGATAATCGAACGGAAGAAGAAAATATACTATAAAATAAGTATTCTCTTTCGATTCTAGTGTCTCTATCTTGCATTTTTCGTTATTCCCTGCAAAAAAAAATTTTTCTCCTTCAGTGCACTGGTCGTGCACTGATGCCACCCTTGGAATCAATACGCCACTCTTTCGGTAGCAGAAAAATTTCAGTGATGCACTTTTTTTTGACAATAAAAATACAAGTTCATTAACAAATTCTAATTTATCATCTGAACTGACTGAACTGAATTTTTATTTTTGCAAGCATGGTTGTTACAAAGGAAGCTAGCTTATGCTAATGCAACACCGAAAATAGTGAAGAAATAAAGAAGTACTAAAAAGAGCAACCTGTCTAATTCATCATGAACATCTCGACTTTTAATCTAGCTTTTTAATCTATAGATCAAATAGGATAAATTATAAATTCAAGCCATATGGCACAGTGGGCACTTCTGACTAGGCATGCGGACATGTGCTCTAAACGTGATATGAAAGCCTTTAATTACTATTTTTATAGGTTTTCGTATGTACTCTTTCCAATGGTGTAGTTCACAAAGTTCAAAAACACTTTTGGTCGGGTTTTCCATTTTTGAGAACTGATTTTCTTAACGACTTTAAATGCTAGAATAAAACTTTTTTCATCATTAAATCGGTCGTTAGCTAAAGTATATTTGACACTATTCAAATCACGAAAAAGCTTACGTCCTTTCACCTAATGTCCACGTTGTTGCCCACTGTGTATGGATGTTAAATTCAGTGCACTGAAGTATATACTAAAATTATCGGTCACGATATGCTAGGACTGAAAGTTAGGCCTAAGTTGCCACAATCAACGTAAACTCACAATGACACTAGTGACTTAGGCCTGGCTTTCAGTCCTAGCGTATCTTGACCAGAATCATCTTTAAGTTAAGTCATACCTGGTCATACGTATAGGTATGACTTAATGCTGTTCGATGATCTGAACATGAACAACGTGACATAAGAAGAAAATTTAACTAGTCTCGGCAAGTTAAAATAGTTACGCCAGTTTTAAAGTAGTCAGCAGGGCTAGCATCTTAATATCATACGTAAGTTGTAACAAGGGCAACGGATCCACTGATGCTCAGAGGCTCAAGCCTCACTTACGTTAGAAATTAACATCTTATGAGAATACACTATGAGCCTCACTTAGACTGAAGACGCTTCGTCGCCTATGGCTTGTACATTAATATTGCGCGATCTATCGATCGAACGTTCAACGAATCACATCACGGTCATAATTTTATTGGTTCACAGAAATTAAAAGACAAAAATTTAAAAAAACAGCTCAAGACAAAAATTTAATTGATGATGAAGACGGTTGATTGATTTTGTCAAATATGGTATAGCATGTAGTTGAAAAGTTTCACAAAAATGAGGATTAGACTGGAGCAACGGCGTCTATCAACATCTCAATATTTGAGGCATTTTGTACCACTTCGGCGGATCGATCTTTCAGTGTACCATCGGAGAAAGGAATTTCGATCGCTAAAAAGCATCGCACCTTACTTTTGCTTAAGACATTGCGTCTCAAACGTCTCACAGGAAAGTCGCGCCGGGATAGGAGGTTAAAAAGTTTATTAAAATGTTTTATGAGGCTGTATTAAAATTTGACTTTGTAAAGTGCCAGTTTTATCTAGTTTGCAAAAAAGATTTCGCTGAAAAAGCAACAAAAAAAATCTCACATTGGACTTACTCTTGAGAAAATTCTTGTGAGAGCACAATTGCTTTTGCGATGTAGATTTTTAAGTTTAGAGAAGTTTGAAAAAAGATCTCTGTCTCTCCCAGACCACAATACATTAGTACTTGTATGTTTTTCATTACTTGTCGGCAAATAACAAGCACAGCTAGAGAAAATATTCATTTTATAAATACTTATTTTGAGGAAAAGTTGTATTCTATTCTGCATCACTTCTGCTTTAACTCTATTACAGTGGAAATCGACGTGTTTTTGTATACAAATATGTCGTTCAAAGTGTAGTGCAGTATACTGAGAATTTTTCGTAGTTTCCCATCGTATTTTCAACCTTAAATCACTCACTTTCTCAATTTTCAATAAAAAGTGGCTTACTGCTTATAGAGAAATAATAACTTGTTGAAAAAATATATGTTGATTAAATGTCGTAATAATTTTCTTATATTTTTCTAGATTAAACTGTGAAACATAAAGATGAACAATTTGAAACAACTTCGTAACCAACAGGATATTGTGTTTCTTTCTGTTGATAATAATCAGTCGTGGGCAGTCAGTGGTTTGAATGCAGTAACTGGCAGTGTTGTATATTCATTTAAATCAGATTTTTCAATAGCTAGAAAGACACTTTTCAGTAAAAACAATTATTTGTTTGCGGCTGCCATTGATAGACCAACAATTTATGTTTGGAATTTAAATAGTTTAGTATGTTGTTTTACACTGGAAATAATTGGCGTACAACCTAATAATGTTTGTTTTTGTTCTTAGAAAAGCGATTATAAGAAATTAACTGTAGCCGGACCCGTTTCGTCGATGGTGTTTATGTTCGAAAAGACTTGGTTAGCATGTGCTATTGGAAACAGAATATTTATATACAAAGTAAAAAATAAAAGTAGGCGAAAAATGTGATTTATCAAGAAGAAATTTGTTTTTAGATTGATGAAGGTCGACATATATCAACACTAAGCGCTCATATTCGACAAATAAATGTATTACTCTATGATGATGATAAAGGATGTCTTATATCGGGTGGAGAAGACGGTCTTGTGTATAGATGGGATATTGAAGGGTGAGGTTAGAAATCTTACGTATATAGTGTACATAGATGAACACTATTTATTTTTTCATTCTAGTATTAAACTTGACCGAAATATTGAATCTCAACCAGCAAAATCTTATCAAGGACATACCCAAGCCATTAATGATTTATCTGTAATAAAACTAGCAAAATCCCATTTACTTTTAACAGCATCAAACGATTCATCTGTTCGTGTAAGAAAGTTCATCATATTTTACACCTTTTTGTTATTATATATTGTACAACTTTTGATTTTAAGTTAAAATAAATAAATATGTCTTTTTTTAGCTGTGGGATATAGTCAGTGGAAAATGTATATGTACGTTATTATGTCCGTCTGAAGTACATTCAATTTGTTCAGCCGAACTATCTCGAACGATATTTTGTGGATTATCAAATGGAAATATACACGCCATATCATTATCACAATTAACTACGGTAAGAAAAATAATATATTGATAATTTTCACATATTGAATACTAGTTTTTCTTGTTATGTATTTTGAAGTTACAACATCAAAGTCAAAATTCATCAATAACAATTGATCAAACGAATTCCAGAATATTTAATCATCATAGGTATGAAGATCAAAAACATATACACATCTATGCACTCATTCTAAATGTTCATTTTTTTTATTTTAGCGGAATTGTTAATTGTTTACAATTAAGTGATCATGAACAGATACTTTATTCAGGAGGAAAAGATAAAAATTTTGCCATATGGGATGTACCATCTGGTCAAATTCGATTTAAAACACAAAATCACGGTAACACATGTAGATATTCATATAAAATTTTTTTTTGAATAATTGTTTTATTTCTATAGGTGCTATTTCCAATGTTTTTCTTACAAAAATTGATTTAAGCGATGAGTCAAGCACAAAAAATATTTGTTTACCATTTAATGTAAGAAACATATACATTCTTCTTATTCTGATACTTTTAATAAACATGATACTTTTTCTTCAGACGTTATCAAATGATTCTACAGGTGAAACATCAGAATATATGCTTTCTAATGGAACCGATGATTCTATTCAATTAGTGGCAATGGTAAGACCTGTAATTAGGAAATAATAGTTTTAATTAATCAAAATTAAATCAATTATTAAGATCAGAATTGAGAATATAATGGTATCAGGAAAAAGTGATTATGCTGATCTTACAAGAAAATCATATAACATCGACGGACTTAATAAGCGAAATATAAGAACATTTTAAGTGAAAAAGCATTTCATAAACTCTTTCTAGTCTTAATCATTTATGCTTTCTTATAGAATGCTGGTTATTATGTTACTGCTTATCTTTGTTATCATTATTTTTGTTTATTTAGCCTGGTACAACAACGGATTACGAAGAGTTGGCCATGCGCCATAATATTATATCACCAGTTTATCATCAAATGGCAACTATGTTACTTAATCAGCAGATGAATACTTGATTAATTTTCTCGCCGAGATGTCCTGAAAAAACGTTTAGATTTATTTTTTGACATATACATTTTGTAAAATGTATGGCGAATGTTTTCTTGTCTGATAAATATGTTCTTGTTTTTAGTTCATCTATGGCTTTTTGTTTCATGTTATTGTTATGAAATTTGACTGTATCTAACATTACGTCTTCTTTTGTCTTTTAATAAAAGAAAATTATGCTTGTATTATTATTTATTTTTTCAAAAAAAATGTTGACTTATTTTCTACTACTACGTAGTAAAATAAAAACTTTTAATAGAGTACATAATGTGAATTTCTACTTGCAGGCATAGTTTTTAAGTATATTGAATATCAGTGAGTATGATGAATTTTTTTAATGACATATCGAAACACGGTAGATAGTAGGCTGTAGTTAGTTACAGAACAGAATTTCAACCAATATAAACTGCTTTTCATGAAAGTATTCTGTTTTTGTAACCAGTCTTACTCGACTGACGTATCGAGTATTATTTTCAGTTGTTTTCAAAATGAAAATTCTTAGATAAAAAGTAGCTGACTAGCAAATATCATATTCTATCGGATCAGTGCTTGTACCATCTTAAAAGGAAGGTATGCTGTTCTCCGTGTTTTTCTTTTGCATTTTATTGTTATTTTTTCTACAAAAAGATAACAAAATAACTTTAAAAGTGAAAATACAGTATTGAACAAAAACATATTAAAGGTAAACTGTTCTTAATATCTATTTTATCTGTTTATTCAATTAATCTTTCAGCATATTTGAATGAAAGTAAAATCTCCTATTTTCTTGAGCATTTTATTTCTTGTGTTGTTAATATACTTGCAGCCTTTTAAAATGTGAAACTGTAAAACTTGAAGTTCTACTTAGTGGTTGCTGTATGTCGATGTTTCTTTTTCTCATAATGTTTTTCTTTTGTCATCGTGATACCATTCTGAGACATTTTCTATTTTGAAAGTTACAACGTACAAAACAGCATCCAGCTGGTTCATTTAAAAGAGAATCAGAACGTTGGACACATATAATCAATTTCAATGATTTTTCAAAAGCTGTTATGGAAACCCATGTTATTCTTGGTGATAATGATGAACTTACATAAATGGACTTGACGGTTTTCCTGATATAAGTGGATATGCTAAAACGGGTGCATTGTGACCAAATATGGATTAATTAACAGCATTAAAGTCAAACTAATAATCTTACAAACACGATCAAAAGAAAGCTCTTTCAAAACTCTACAAATGGCTGGTAATTCATTTCGAGTTGAAAGTGTGAACGCCCACTTTGACGGATATTATTACGGGAGATGGCGGTTTCGGCATTGACGGATAGGCTCAACCCATATAAAACCTACCACCATTTACATCGACCTTTGACAAAAGTGACGAGACCAACATCATGTTATAGAGCTCAGTAAACTGAACCGAATGGTGACAACCGCAAGTCTCTAGCCTTGTTAGAAAAAAAGTTAAAGCCATTTTACCCCCGCAGCGGAAAAATGCATTTTTCGGCGGATTTGGCCTAACTTGTAGAACGTCTGTTGACCACATTCCCTGATGTAAAACCTTGAAGTTGGTATCGAATGAAAGAGCGCATCGAGTTTTATATATTTCGATGAAGAAAAGTTCTGCTACATCTTGTCTTGGGGTCTTGAGATAGAGATTTCCGAAAAAATCCGTTTTCTAGAAAATCTAATGACCTTAAAATTTCTTCCAGAAGTTTTTCAATCATATCATTAGATAGCCCCTTCAATTCTCCATAAAATGAGATGCCGGCCAAGTTTCTACGATGCTGTGTCAAAAAGTGCCATAGAAAATACCATACAGATCAAAAACGGCATTAACGCGAATGAATTTTGTATTCGTAATGTTAAAAAGCCTGAAACTCGAGGGTGCAAGATCGTAGAAATTTGGCCAGCATCTCATTTTAAAGCTGCATCAAATGGTATATAAGACTTTCCTTCAAACTTGTTTCATTCTGAGAGATGTACGAAAAACACGTCGTAATGGGTTCGCGGAGTGAAATATTCGTTTCGCCCTACTTATTTGTTTAAAACGTATAAAAGGTTTATAGCAGTGGCGAAGCCAGGGAGAGGATTGTGGGGATCGCTCCCCCCCCCCCCCCCAAAGTCATAGTCATATATAAGTCAAGATAAGCAAGAATAAATTCTAAAAAATTCACTAAGATAAAAAAAGACTATTTTTTCGATTTTAAATCGATAAAATGAAATTTGATCGCCCCCACTTCAAAAATCCTGGCTACGTCACTGGTTTATAGAAGGCTTTGTACTCTTAGGACAACTTTCAGATATTTAGGGATCCATGGGAATCCTTCCGGATCCATGCGGAGACGCAGATCTGCCTTTTTTCCCTTGAGAAAATGCCTAATTTAAAGGCATCTCTTACTAGAAATGACTTGGCCTGAAAAAACTTTCTCAAGTCCAGTCGAGTCATACACCAGAAAATTTTGGACCAAGTCAGACTTGACTTGCCCAGCTCTGTTTGTAATAGGCGATTTTAACGGTGATCTTTCTTCTTTTCGTCTGTTTTGTTTAAAAACGCATAATATTCGATTATATCTTCTATTTCGTTGTTTTCTTCACTAACTGGAAAAAGCGTTCGTCTGTCCAGTAGTAGTGCTTTTTCAGTCAACTGGATGTCTGCTAGAAATGGATAGTCTCTGTCACTATGCATCACACATCAAAATTCATCTTTTTGTTCTGTTCTTCTAGAACCACTTGGGCATAGTGAATGTATCCTGTCATCATAGCATGTTCTGCACAGATTTACAATACTAACCTAGTTTAAATATTCCAGCGAGGATCAAATGAATCGTGCACTCCAGCCCAATATTTTCCGTAGAAAATCGATAGTTGGGCGTAGACATAAACAGGAAAAACTCTAATGCCACTTTTCTTTTCACCACGATAAGGGACTGAAATGTTGTCCATTTACCACAGAGAAGTTATTGGGTGTACCAACGTTTTTTTTTACTCGGCTATCTTTTTTAAAGAGGTTTAGAACTGAGCTCTGTGTTAAAAGACTAAAACGACATTTTTATTGGTTAAAAACTACACCGCTTAGGATAAACACGATGTTTCAAACCTTGAAATCGATTCCAGTTAAATAAAACTCTCTTTAACATAACAGATTTTTTAGTAATTGTCATCTCCAAACTCCAAAAATTATTCGGTCGATGAAACAGAATTCTGTTAGTCTTTGAAAGACTTAAGTTGATGAGGTGCCAAAACGAGATGCAGATTGATTTTAAATCATTTTGCGACGATTCAAGATTTGATTAAAATCAACTGAGGTGTCTCCCCCTGTCAGAAACCTATTTCTGAAACTATAAGTCCGGTCTTGGTCAAACTTTTAGGAGATATTGATCTTATGAAAGTATGGTGACGAAATTTGTTTTGGCTCCATCAACCATGGTTTGTGAGATGTCGCCACTACAGTGACCAAAATGGGGCTGTTCGTAGATGCAGGATTCCTGAGTAACGAAACGTTGTGGAGAGTGCGGAGTGATCTTAAGCTGACAAAAACACATGTGGCTAGAGGCTAATAGAGTTGGATTTTTGATATTTGACTTTTCAAATTAATGGTCAGCGTCAAAAATCAAAAAGGTCTCATTAACTTCGATAAAGATATTTTTCTAACCACAAATTTAGACCAAATATCAAAAAATTGGGCTCTATTAGCCTATAGCCACATGTGTCAGCTTCAATTTAAGACCTTCCCGAGCTCTCGACGATGTTTCTTTAATAAGAAATGTTGTAGCTACGAAATGATGTTGAGGTAGTCACTTTCGACATATGGTGGCGCCAGTATCTGATGCATGTTTAGGGCTTCCAGCAAAAGTCTCATAGCTCTTGATCAGAACATCATTCAGAGCTGGGAGATATCTCATTTTGATTAGAAATGTTTGCTCTATTCTCTGGCGTTATTGAAAGAATTTAGGCTTTGTTTTTTTATCGGAAAGTAAATAAAAGTGTTTTCGAAAAGTCGGCTTTTCAAGGTTTTCAGAAAACTTTTTCAAAAACCTCCATACCCCTTCGGTGAGGACCAAATAACATTGGATCCTGATAGTAGATACTGTGGGCTATCTGATGATGTATTTGGCTCAATATTGACTTTGTATAAAAAATTATATTTTTGACTGGGGGAGAGGGGCTTAGTCATATTAAATAGTCATATTAAATCCAACAACTGACTTTTTTTAAGTAGTTTAAAAAGCAATAAAGCCTCTATATGAATAATTGTAATGTAGAAGGAAAAAATAGATGAAAGTGAATTGTATTCAAACGACGATTGATATCAAAATTTTTGTTTCATAGTAAAATATATTACAAAAACGAAAATAAGCGTTTATTCTTATGGATAGATATAAGAATAAACGAATAAATAGCAACATAAGGGTATTTTTCTTTTCTTTTCTTTTCAATGGGTACATAAAACAAAGAAATAGAATGTGAAGATGTTAGTCCTTATTAAACTGAAAAATGAGCTATGAAACAAAATAAGAACAACAATATCGTTGCACAAAGTATTAGAAAACAATGTCATACAGTATGGTTTAATCTACATCATTAATCAATAGATTACACTTGTATACAAAACGCTAAATGAAAAAGGTATATCGTTTTCAAAAAATCAGAAATAGTCTATTAAATTATGTATCGTGTAATGATAATATTTCATAAACTAGTTATTCATATGTTAATCAATTTTTTATTTTGTCATAAATATGCTTCATAACATTTACAGTTATTGGCAATAAAATATCATTTGTATGAGAAAATGTGTCTCACATACTCACGTTCGTCACGTGGCTGATGTATAGTTTCTTGCATTCGGCAGAGATATTTTAATATGATAAATACTGGTTATGAATGAAAAAAATGCATACATGACTAAAAAAATACCAGTACAATTATTTTTTTACAAGTGTACCAGTGAAATTTACAATGTGATGATACAAGTGGTTTCGTTACCAGATACCAATTACTGTAAGAAAAAGAAAAGAAAAAGCTTGATAAGACAAACTGTAGTAGAATTTCGTTATATTTTAGAACTGACTATTTGATTCCTCTATTTAGAATATTTTATTTGATCATAGTAAGCTTTTTTTGTGTTGTTGTTTTACTAAAGAAACCTATGTTTTAGTAGTATTAGTAAATATTTTTATATGCATTGTCTTCGGAACGTGTACCGTTTCAAAATGTTATATTGATGTCAATCCACTAAATGATAAAAATAATAATCTATGGTGACATACAGCGTTTAATGCCTTGTGTTTTTTCACGCATCAAACTTGTTAATTCAAAACCATACACTGTAAACAAACATGTTGTGTCAGAGGACATATTTAAATTATCGCAACAGAAATGTACCGTGCATGTGGGTACTTCTGTATACGTTGTGCACAGTGATATATCAAATATGCCCTGTAACGTGTCGCACCAACAAATGTCGTATGGTAGAACACATTTAATAAGCACCTCTGCAGAAGACATATTGTTTGTACCTTACAATGTGTTCTCGATGAAATGAGCCCTGTCACACGACACATTGAATATGCTTCAGTGTCTTTTAATTCATCTTTTTGTCTTGCTATAGTATATCTATATAATAAACTAAAAAGTTTACTTAAAGAATTATAAATTATTTGACTCAAACACCTTTAAAGTATCATATAGTATGCCAAAATATTTGAGCACGATCTATCGCAAAAAAATGCACTATTTGCAAGGGCACATTTCTTTTTTATAGTGCAATCTCAAGCGCTAGTAAAGATATGAAAAAAAAGTATGACCTTAGGAGTATATTTCTTCTCTATCTACGGAAGATATGAATAAACGCACTACAAAACCGTGTCAGGGTGATTTTTCACGTCTGTTTTTTTGTTTTAAAATGTTCTTTACCATGTTACAAAATTCTTTTCACTTTATATGATTTTTATAACTCCTGTTGTGTGATTTTTGACAGTAGTAGGCTTTATATAACTACGCTTATAGATTACTAGCAATGCGTCTGTATAACGCACCCGAAATAAAAGTTCATTTGTCGTCATCGCCTACATTAACAAATAGTTTAAGAAACTTACAGTCGTTGGAATTAACAAATACAACATATATGCCAACTCCATCAATGTCGTTTGCTTCTTCGTATACAAATCGTAATTCCTTGTATCTTAACCGTAATACTTCATTTAAAAAATTATTAAATCGTCATTCATTATCAAAAATACATGGTAAAGAACTATTCCAACGTAGTGTTCGTCGGATCATTGAGCAAAATAATAAACGGAAAAAAATTGCGAATGAACAAGATGCAAATTATTTATTGTCTGATGTAAATGAAAGTATATTAATATTCAACGATTTTACGTTTATGAAAAGTGTATTGCTAAAGAAAAAATTAATGAATGATCGGCCATGGGCTGTGATCTTTGAACGATGTGGCGGACTCGCGACATTGTTAGATTACATTGACAAAGTTACATCAAAACCGTTATCACTATTAAACGCAATTTTAATTAATGAAACACTTCAATGTCTTCGAGCTTTGATGAACATCACGGAAGTATTTGAACATATTGTTGCCACACCACAATACGTCGGGGCCATTGTTAAAAGTAATGTTAAAGATGCCGATAAAAAGGACATTTTAGGAAATTTAATTTTTAGTTTTGACAATTCCATCACCTGAAATTCGCATGAGAGTATTTGAACTTTTAACGGCATTATGCGTTTATTCGTCTGAAGGTTACAATCTTGTATTACAAGCATTATACGATTTTGAGGTAGGATAATTAATTATACATATTTTGTTTTTGCAAAACCTCCCTAGTTAGAAATATCGGGAAAAAGTCTTTCTGCCAATTCCAAAAATTGACAGTGTGTGACAGACATCTCTGCCAATTGGCAAAAACTTTTTATAATTGGCAGTGTCACATGATTTTCTTTCAATTGGCAGAAATGTCTGTGACATCCTACCAATTGGACTTCCTAACTTAACTTAGGGAAATTTTTTCTAACTAAACTTAGAGAATTTTTTTTATTCTCGTATCGTTTATAGGTTATCACTTCTTCTGAATCCAGCATCCATTCAAATTAGACATTATGTTGTAGTGACCTACATCGTATTATGCCTTTTGTGAGCGTTTTCTTTTCTCTATGTATAGTCGAAGAAGAAGAAACTAACTAATCAGTATAACAATGAAGTTCACATACAGAGAGGAGGAGAAAGCATACATTAATTTCTTCTATTAACAATGAAGACTTGTCTACTGTAAATATAGGTCATTTTAATCCTTTTTCATATCTTCGTTGCTCCATCAGCCAGCCAACTATTTTTTTTAACAAAAGAAAATTAATAATCTAACAATATGTACATACATAGTTTTGAGTGGTAGAGAAAGAGAGTTTAATATTGGTTTAGTTTAAAGAGAGTCTTTGTTGTTGTTTCTGCTGTTGATGTTTTTTCTTCTTCTTTGGTGGCGTTGTTGTTGAACATATTGTAGCTGCTGTTGATGAATTCACATCTTTTATATATAGGAGTAATCCTAAGTTAAGTCATCCCTAAGTTCCCGTGGGAACTTTTTGCCAATTGGCAGAATGTCACATGATTTTCTGCTAATTGGCAAAAAATTATTATAATTGGCAGAGTGTCAGACGCGTTTCTGCCAATTGACAGAACGTCATTGACAGAAAAAGGAACTAGCAGAGTGGCATAGATCCGAAATATCTGTGATGAATGAGTCGTATCGTCAACGAATTTGTATATGAAAAATAAACCATTAGTATCGAACTCGTACTGTTGCCTGTCAACCAGAGCTCTGTATAGACCGAACTGGACCTCCTTAAGGCCGCGGGGGGGGGGGGGGGGGGGGGGGGGGGGGGGGGGGGGGGGGGGGCGGGGGGTGGGTGTGGTGGTGGTG